GGATTATGGAAGAAAACAGCAAACGCAAAGCTGATCATACAAAACTTAAAGAAGATACTACTAACCTCAAGACCAAAAATACTGAGCTTGAAGCCGAAGTAGCGAAATTAAGACATGATATTGAGGAAATCAAAAAGAAAGATCAAACCATTTCTAATATACAGGATGCACTTTCTACAGAAGAGATTTTGTCTACTTCATCTGATAATGCTTCAAATTCTAATAATTCTAATGAGCTTAACAATTTCTTATATGAGAAAAATAAGGAAAGTATTAGTAATATGATAAGAGAAAGGAACCAGGAAAAGAAGATTCAAGCCCAAGTTTCACACAATGCTTCTTTGGTGCCAGCTGATTCTCCTTGCAATAAGATTTTGGATATTGAGGCAGAGAAAGAACCATGTGGTGATTTGGAAAAATAGTCCCAACCAAAATCATATGATATGAAAACCATGACAAATTTGTCACGATCAGACAATATATCTTCTGAAGTATCTGAATTAGAGCAAGATGATGAAAATGATGAGGTTGATGCCATTCAAATTGTAGAACAAGGTCTAATGCAAGAATTGTCCCAGAATACACCTGGCGTTGAAATTAATGAGCCATATATTCAAAAATTCGATAACTTGGTCCCAGGTTTGGCACAAAGTTTATCATATTTGTTTAATAAAGCAGTTATAAAAGGTCAAGAAGAAATTTTATGTTGGTATTATTATTCTCTTGAGTTTGAAAATAGAGTTAAAAGCCTTATAACTGATAAAAATAATAAGGATAAAACTGCAAGAACAAAATTATATAAGAAAATGAAACCTTTTCTTCCTCACATTACAGATTCAAATTTACGTAAAAAAACTCAGAGAGCTCAGAAAATTCTTAAAATGTTTGGAGAAGGAGGAGTAGATATAGCTAAAATTAAACAGGTTACATATAGTGCAAGTACTATTTCTGGATTAACTAATGCGCAAATTCAAAATATTATAGACCATGTAAACTTAAAAACTGTGACAAATTTGTCACGATCAGAACATATATCTCTGAAAATTAAGGTAAATGATCTAACTAAATCACTAATCTCTAATTCTTCTGATTCGAAAGTACCATCTATCTCTAAACCCAAAGAGGATTTACCAGAATCCAAGAAGACCTTTTATCTGAAAAACAAAATAATCTAGTTCACACTCATGCTAATTTTCGCAACAAAATATTGGAGCAATATCCCGATATATTTTATGAATTTAATAATGAAAATATTGATTATTATGGAATTACTGATGGGGCATCATGCCTTTTATGCAAGTTAGACCATGATGATGAGGAAGGTATAGAAAGTAGATATGAAACTGGGGGATCAGAGATTCGATGCTCTGTATTATCATACTATATTAAATGTGAATAGTGTGAAATTCAAATAACTATATAAATAAAATTTATTTGTCTGCACTTTATAACATATCAGTATGCAATAATACAAAATTAATATTTTTTTGGCTGTGTCTACTTCGCTAATACGTAAGTGATATATTCAAATATTATCCAAGAATAAGGCATAACTGTTATCCTTACTTGGTAATACTCCAAAGCATAGCCACTATGTGACTGTCTCTGATAAATTTTTATAATATTTAATTATACTAGCAAATAAATACTTGGGATACCTGATGCAAGAATTTAAATTGCTTTGTATTCATATAAAATAGCAACATGGATACATAGACCAAGTTTGATAAAATATTATCCCCCGAATATCTGGATTGGTATTCCAAATTAACTGATTTGCCAACTACTATATCTGATAAACTTCATTCCAAGTTATATAAAATATATAAGAAAAAAACTGGGCTTGATCCTTGGATAAAGTTTAAAAATCTGGAACCCCTACAAAGTGAAAATGCTAATAATCATATCATACAAGATAGCTCGTTAGAAACTCAGGTAATGACGCCAAACAAAAATCACCTTTATCAGTATGCCATCGAACATGGAATAAATCCCAAAGAATTTTCGATTATTACAGGGGTTAAGAAAAATAGATGAACCACAGGATGTTTTCGTGGGGATTTGGAAAGAGATATATGTTTCTATCATGGTGAAATAGAAAGAAAAGAAGACCCTAGAAAATATCGTAAATTTTTAACAGATCGGGAG